TTTTAATTTGGTTTTAATGGATATTTATTGTACTGTGGTTTTATAAGGCTGTTAGCCGCCCTGAGTCCGGTGAGGAGAAGGGCGGGGTACAAATTAAATTATTATTATTATTATTATTATTATTATTATTATTATTATTATTATTATTATTATTATTATTATTATTATTATTATTATTATTATTATTATTATTATTATTGTAGCCGATATAATTATTTTTTTTAATTTGTCACCAGAAAAAAAAGGCAATTTTCTATATTTAAGGTGTTCTGATATATCAAGGCAATTAAAGTGTTCTGATACACCTATAGCACATATCTCCAAGGGAATGTTGAAGGAGAAGCGTATGAAAAACACCAAGTGAGGTATGGAAAGCTCTAAGTGACATCAGGAGGTAAATTAAGTGCCCCTGTCCAATTAGCCAAAATTTGTCAAGTGCCTTAGGGAAGGCAGTTCCTATCTACTAACTCAGCTTCCTCTAATTTTGAGTTTAGGTCAGAGCCCTGAGGCAATTCTGAGTAAGGGGAATCATCAAAATGTGTTGCCGCTGAAGAAAATGTTTGTTTTACTCGTCTCTTACATGGCAGGGAAGCAGAGATCTTGTCCAATAGTATGGTATTCAAATATACACACCTGTACACTATCATTCCTTAGACTTTTGTCTGAAATTATGTTCCATACTGGTGCCAACTTGCTGTTTGGATGACAAATGGTAACAAAAAATGTTCCCCCCATAGCTGGACATCATGACAAGCCACAGTTTGGATAGTCTAACCTGGCAAAGAAATAAAGCCTTTATGGTAAATGCCCATGGAAATACTTTTCCATCCTTACTAAAATATATCAGACATTGGCCTATTAGCCAGAATGAGAATCCTGTGGTATATTTATGCTACAGTTTGAGACTGGAAGGTTTAGGAGACGATTTGGAATTCAGTGAGTTAATCTAAAATTAAAGCAGGATATAGAGATGAGAGAGATATGGGGGCAAAACTCAGATTAACACTTCTTCCTTGTTTAGAAACTCAGGAATATCTGTACTTTATTCCTGAGTTTCTAAACAAGGAAGAAGTGTTAACCTGAGTTTTGCCCCATATCTCTCTCATCTCTATCTCATCTCTATATCCTGCTTTAATAATTCTTATTTTGTGTGGGTGACAAAGTATGGTGACCAAGGAAGCGAGGGAAGGAACTGTAATACCAGAAGGAAGAAGGAAGGGGGAGAAGGAAACTCTAAGGCCTTAGGGATAGCTCTGATAGTTGGTTTTGTGGTTTGACTGCGGTATCTGAATTGGGCTATGCACATTTTTAACCCAAAAGAGTACTGAATAGTTCTCCTTTAGACCAAGAAACTAGGAACAGAAATATAATAATAAACTAAATAGTAACAAAAACTATAGGTTAAACATTATCTTTATAATGGTTGTAAGAAAAGACACATGATTATCAAAACTTGAAATTTAAAGTTCAATAAACGGTAATAGCAGCACAGATATCATTTTCAAAAACCAAGAGATGGACTCCTCAAAGTATTATAGAAACTCTGCACATATTTTGCTCACTGTTCTGATTTTACCTAAATGTTTATAGGTTCTGACTAGCTGTAGGAAAGGATTGTCATGTAATATGACAGCTGTGAAAAAAAAACCAGAACAAAAACAAAACAATTGGGAAACATTTAGAAAGGATCAAAATTAAAATTACCAAAATCATAAACTATGGCTATTGTCTTTGCAATGAGCACCGCATCTCTATGATATGTCACATAAGTTTAGTTTTGAACAGGGAAAGAAGCAGAAGAAAGCAACCTGGCAGGGGTTGATAGAGAAAATCTCACTCTCTTTTGCAATATTGAAATATTGTTTTCAAGGACTTAGCTAAATTATTTAAGCCTCATGTTACTTAGTAGTAAATAATATTAGATAATATTTGAAGGCTCATTAAAGTTGCTTCTGAAATATCCCCAAATTGCATCCCAGAATGTATTTACCTGTTGTATACTAGGCAGCACATGCTATTGATCTCCTTGTCCAGCTTGTATCTCCGGAAGTCTTCCCAAGCATCTTTAAGAGCAGTGATGGCCATTATAACACAAACGGGCAACACAGATATTCCTGGCTCAAAAACATTTACTACTGGCACAAAATTAAGAACAACGATGGCCACAAAATATACGTTGGCAAAGCGGTGAAACTGTTCAAAAATATTTTTAGGGATAAAAGACAAGAATGTGTATCGGGTGGTCTTGATTTTGTTGCCTGCATGACGTCTATTTGGATTTTCTTTCCACTTGGCTTCAAAGGGCAAGTTCGACAGCACAACTCGTTTAGTTTCTTCATTCTTTTCCCCTTTCCTTCTCGTCACAGATTCCACACTCTCAGACTCTGAGACAACACTCTGGCAGCACGGTCTTCTGAACCAAAGTATATCCCGTAGGAATGTTATTGAGCACATTTCCTTGACATCTTCCTGCCCCTTTAAAGCTACACTTAAAGAATTAAACACAAACTATATTCCAGTCGGTTTGTTCCAGGGTGAAGTGTCAGGCTGCATTTAATTGAGCCAATTTCTTTTGCTTGCTTTAGTCAACACCTGTTGAAACACAGAGGTGTCATCCTTCAGCAAACCAGTTTTGCTGCCATCAAAAAGAGTGATTCTGGGTCCTAGTGCCTGCTTTGCTGCCGATCTGGATTTTTTCCTCAGCTGTACAATGACACTGAAACTTTCTGAACAGTATAAACTAGAAGATAGAAGTCCAGTGGTCTCCTACTTGAATCTCAGATATGTGTTAGTATGGATTATATGGCCTTTATAATTCTATGCAGAATTATAAATACTTGAAATTTAAAACAACAACTTCAAGCAATCACATTTCTCTGCATGGGAATTACACTGTTTTCCATAACTTGTATGCCATTCCCCAAAATGCTTGCATCTCCAGCTGTCTGCACTGTCAAAAAATTATTCAAAGCAATGTCCAAAGGAGTGGAGATATATTCTATGTGCACTAGGAGGAATACCTGTAGAATAGCTTTACCTTAAACCATGCTTTAACTATGGATTATTAAAGAAACCACTTTGGTTGCAAATCATGGTTTATAGAAACCAGTATGCTAAAACCAGGCATATTACATGATTGCTTATGTGAAATAAATCATAGTTCTGTAGAAATCCAAATAACTGTGGCATAACAGTAGGATTGAATTTTGTGATAATTGTCATAATTGATGTTTGAGATACAATTTTTAACAGGAAATTGAATGAACCAACAGATTTGCAGCAATATTATAAAGATAAAATTATCTTCTGCCACACATTGTATTCTCAAAATTTATTGCTTATATTAATATGGGGGATGGGATGGGAATATCAGGAGAAATAATGTAACGACACATTTATAGACTTACTTATTGTATGCCTTCGTTTTAGAAGAATTGATCTGCTGATCCAGTTTGTATCTTTTATAATCTTCAGTGCCATCCTTAACTGCTATAGCTAAAAGCATAGCAACTAAAGGTATCATTGTGATATCCTGCTGAAAAACTTCCAGTTGTGGGAACCAGTTGATGACCACCAAGAGGAGGAAGTAAATGTTGGCCAACCTAAAAAGATAGAATCATTAATGGAGTTGTTACATTTATCATTTTTCTTATTGAGCTTATTGAGGCAATGATTTCTGGGTCCAGACATAATTAGCAAACAATCAAACAAATTAACAAACAAACCCTTATTCATTCGTTTGCTTTAGTGGCTAAAGTTAACTCTGCCCACAAACTGTGTTTATGCAATGCATGTACCATGGTTTACCAAATTAATTTAATTTTTCGTGTTTCCATTATGTACTGAACCACATGAAGCATGCAGGGTGATTTTGCATAAAATATTAGACTAAAATGTGATGAGTTAGTCTGTGGCACAGTGGCAAGCCAGCTGTACCATTTATGTGGGCAGGTTTGAAATAGGCAAGATGGTGTACAGTTCCCCAACCCTTGGGCCACAGATTGGTACCAGTCTGTGGTCTGTTAGGAACTGGGTGGTGGAAGCGGCAGGTGAATGAGAGAAGTTTCATCTGCGCATGCGAGGGATCTAGATTGTATGTGAAACCACCCCCTCCTGGTCCGTGGAAGAATTGTGTTTCATGAAACTGGTCCCTGGTGCCAGAAAGGTTGGGGACCACTGGAATATGGAGTACTTTTAAAAAAAAATAATCCTAGTATCATGGCTTCACTAATTTGGGTTAACATCCCAGAGGTAGCTTTAACTTTTTGCTTCCCTGTTTCTTTCTTGATCCAACCCTAACCTCCAACTATCTATTATTCTGTTATTTCTCTTCACAGTGTGAAGAACATTTATGCCCAAATGTAAAAATGTGCGCAGATTAAAGCCACATAAATGACCTACAGACTATTGAGAGCACAGGCAGAGCTGTAGATTATCTCATGGCTTCAACTTCAATTTCCCAAGTAGGCCTTGGGATGGTTTTAAATTGTTTTGGATGACCCATTCTAACAGAGAAAATGTATAGCTGCTTTGTCATGACCCAGTTGCTGTGACCGGGCTGTTCAAGACTGGTCTATAATTTCTCAGGTCAGATGAGTTTAATTAAAGCTTCTTCTTCCAAAGGGTGCTTATAATAGCTTCCTGAAGATCTGTACCATCTCCTTACTTAAAGAAGTGTTATTTATAGCTCCCAATGAATCACCAAGCCTCTCCCAACACATTAGAATTAGGCAACGTCTGACACACGTCACAATCTATTGTCATACTAAAGGAGCTATTGTTTAAAAAGCTATTGGACTGTCCCTTATTATTCATTTTATAAGTAATCATCCTTATCTAAATATGGAATTTAATGTTGCCTGTGTGACTTCCTGTTGCACAATGGGACTTTGATCCAATTCTTCCCTTCCCTTCTGTAGTCTTCCCCATGAACTCTGGAGATTCTTCTGACTTTTTAAAAACAGATTTATAGGGTGTGTGTGTGTATGTGTGTGTGGGGGGAGGGGGTGAATTTCCTTCCCACATCCACAGATGGTACCAAAAAGGAGTATTAGATTCCACTCTAATATACTGAACAGAACAGAATAACAGAGTTGGAAGGGACCTTGGAGGTCTTCTTGTCCAACCCCCTGCTCAAGCAGGAGAACCTATACCATTTCAGACAAATTGTTGTCCAATCTCTTCTTAAAAATCTCTAGTGATGGAGCATCCACAACTTCTGGAGGCAACTTGTTCCACTGATTAATTGCCAGGAACTTTCTTCTTAGACCTTGGTTGATTCTCTCCTTGATAAGTTTCCAAATAGATTGACCCCCTCTTATGGCAGCCCCTTAAATAATGGAACATTGCTATCATGTTACCCCCTAGTCCTTCTTTTCATTAAACTAGACATACCCAATTCCTGCAACCGTTCTTCACACGTTAAAGCCTCCAGTCCCCTAATCATCTTTGTTGCTCTGCTCTGCACTCTAATATACAGTATTTATACACTGTATAAATCATTCCCACTTTTAATTTAGAGTTCACCGAATATCTGTTGTGAATGAGATCTGTAGTAGAGATACTATATATAGGCAAAAATTTAGATTAAATCTTTCAAGGTTTTGGCACTGTCACTCAAAATCTCATAAGATTTTGATCATTTTAAAACAAAGAAACAATTTTATTTTAATGTTTGGTGCTATGTAGGAAGATCATATACACTAGTATTTCTAAGTCTCGGCATGCTGACTGAGGAATACTGGGAGGTGAAGTCCACATGTCTTAAGCTTGCCAAGGCTGTGAAACTCTGATGTATAACATTGTGTGTGCCAATGCTGTGTTGCCTGTTCCTGACTTATATAATGGAAAACTTCTGATGACAATATAAAGGAGAAGTTTGGAATCTGCAACAATATCTGATTCTTAATCTCTCTAAAGGCATTCTGTGTTTTTTTGTATTTTTCTGAATACTTTTCTTCCATTTACTGAAAACAGATATAATAATAATGATCATTTTGGTTTTCTTTTGGTAGCAGTGGTGCATTTTCATACCTGTGAAATTGTTCAAAGAGATTTTGAGGTAAAAAGCTCAGCAAAGTGTATTTTGTTGTTCGTATCCCATTTTTGCAATATTTCTTCAAGACTCTTTCCAACTCCTTTTGAAATCTGGCATTACTAGGAAAGACAACCCTCCATCTGTCCCAGTTGTGTTTCTGTTTCTGCCTCGGTTTGTCAGAGGATAAGAGAGGTGTTGATTCCAGCTGTGAAGTTTCTTCTTTTGGCCGTGGCCAACAGTACACAATTGAGTCAACTGGTAAAGTCATGGTCACAGATAGGGAACGTCTGAAACACAAATGCATAACAGGAGCTGAAAAACAATTCTAGCCTGAAAGCAAATACAACTCTTACTAGTGCCTGAGTTCACACATTACATGCTACCCAGTACAAGAAAAGTGCGTCCCCAAGTAACAAATGAGGAACACATGGTTAACTATTTGCAGAAAATGATGAAAGGCATACAGAATTTCTTTCAACCATCATAACTGAAAGATTTATAGAGCAAACAAATACAATGAACTGTGTCATAGCGGTTGCTGACATTTGACAACACAAAGGGAAATCCCATCAGGCTTGCTGTGTGCAATGAACATGTAGAGAAGTTTCTATCTGATTGAAGCTCTGCCCTCTTTGCCTCCTTGGTGCTGGAAAAAAGGGGCCAGGATTGTTGGCGGTGGTGGTGGGGGGCAGAGAATATGGGAAAAAGCAAAAACAGGAGGAAAAAAATAATCTGATATTCATCTTTGTCAGTATTGTTAGAAAAAGCCCTTCGTGATAAGAAAGGGTTAAAGTGTTGCTTATAAGATCATTTCCCTGGAGGGGAAAAATTAAAAGCAAGGATAATTACAACTTACAACACACACCTGGGCCTTGTAAGAAGCAAATACATCCCATAGTCACACAGAGCGTGCTCATCTACTATTTTAAATCCAAACCACTCCTGTATACAGTCTCTCATTATTTCAGTTTCAATGCTCTACTTCTACCACAGGTGAAAACATAGACAGTTAATGGTTTAAACCTCTAGCCAAAGCTCTAATGATACCTCAGCAGCTTTCATATTAATTTTTAAACACTGATGCAAACAGAACACATTGCAAACATTTGGAATTTAGCAGCCTGGAAACATAATCACTAAGTTCTGGCATAACATTTTACCACTAAAGCCAGCATTTTAGGCAGAATTCTGACTCTTTCACTGTTCGTACAAAACATACCTCTCAGTTGAAGTTGATACTGTTCTGGAAACCTATAGTTTGTAGAGCTCTTTATATTTTCTTTGTATTTTGGTCCAAAGACCAGCTGTTTGTCTCATCCCCTGTCTCTATTTTCCTAGTGTTAAGAACTGAGACTTGGATACAAAAGGAAGGCAAAGTATTGCTATGAGCTGGAGAAGAGTAATCAATCACAGGTTTTTTTTCATCTCTTGAAACGTACTTTGTCTTTTTGTTTAAAAAGCATTCAAAAAAGCAAATTCAGACAACACACAATTTAAAATATAGTGGGCATTTAATACCAGGATAAAGTGAACAAAATGCAATGTAG